TTGTTTCAGTTGGAGAAACATGGTCAGAGGAGACGTAAGCGGCATGTGTGGAGGTAGAAAGTGGTGCACGTCCAGTTCGTTCTAACTGATACAAAGCCTAAAAGCAAAATGAAGGGGATATAGGGAATTTCAGTCGCAAATAGAGCAGAGAATGGAATCTTTTCAATTTGGTAGACCAAATAAACATGCAAAGACAGCAAAGTAGTCTTAAATTCTAATGGGAGAACAAAAAAGGCAACTTCTAATGATAGCCTTGATGAAGTGTTTCCGAAGCTGAGTAGAATAAGAAAATTACTTAGAACTGCACGACACAGAAACTGCTTCTATTATATTTGATTTCTTTTTATTAGGTTACCGGTTTCCATCACTGAACAGCAGGTTTACCCCGTTTGCTGTTCATCGCACGAAAGTGTGTAATGAAAAGTGGACGACCGCGATTACCTAAAACTCTACGCCTAACTTCAGCATTGCTTGTCCGGTTGATTTCAATTTTGCTACTCCTTTATCCTAATAGACTTAGCCGAGTCCCAGCTTGCGGCACTTTCGCCCGAGTTCACTACAAAAAGTTGTGTTCGTCACGGTTACCCTCTCTGTGTGTGCTTCTATTTAACTTTATCACAGATGTAATTCTTGGAACAGCCCTATCCTCGTGCGAGAATAGCGGTATCGATTTACTCCCAGGTCGCAGGCTGTCTGGTTTAGAATATGCAGACGACATTGTGCTATTAAGTGAAGATCCAATTAAGTTACAAGCCTTTCTGGATAGTTTGAGTGCTAGTTTTGCCATGTTCGGTATACGTTTTGCACCTTCAAAGTGCAAGGGATTGCTACAAGATTGAGTTGGCTCAATCCCAAACCTTACTCTAACTGGGAAACTAGTGGAGGAAGTAGACAAATTTTGCTACCCGGGCAGCTGCATCTCATCTGGCGGACGCATCACAGATGAAGTGTCAGCACGCATACAGATGCCTCGGTTGCCGGTTGTCAACCTGAGACACTTGTGGCACCGTCATGACATCCTGTTGTCCGTGAAGAGTAGAGTGCGTGCGGCAGCAGTCCGGCCAGTGCTTCTCTACGATGCAGATTTGGCTATTATGGGAACAGGATATAAATAGTGTCCGTGTTCGGACACCTCTGCCTACGTTGCATTACACGATTCTGGTGGGGTAAACGGACGAGCAATGCTGAAGTTAGGCGTAGAGTTTCAGGTAATTTCGGTCGTCCATTGGAGCTGGTGGTCAAACTCCATAGATTACGCTAGTTGAGACATGTGCTGCGCACGTCACCAAATCGGTTGTCAAGGCCAGCGATGTTTGCCGAGATAGATGGATGGAAAATTGTCAAGATTGTTGAAAGACCTGGCATGAGGGTATGAAAACCCTAACCAGGACAAAGAGTCAAATAGGTCCTGGATGGGGTCCGTGAAATCATGGTAACCGCCGGCTAGAGACAATGAGTGTCGCAAACGATGGCCCTC